CTTCAGTGCCGGTCCCCAGTCAGAGCAGACTTTGGATCGCGTAGACAGTAACCCCCTGCTAGATTCTAGGTAGAGATAGAACATGATAGAAAGGTTCAGGTTGAAACACGATCCTGTACACTATTGGAATAGTTTTGAAGTGGATCTACTTCCGTGATTTTTTCATATGATTTCAGGGAGTGTATCTTGCTTTCCAATGGGGTGCCTCTGCACTTGTGTCATCTTGTGCCCACTTCTTGGGATCGAACCACAGGATGGCTTGACGGGCAGCGCCTGGGGAGATTGGGCCAACTACACGGCTTCTCCGCTTCGGGCGTTCGAGAATGAGCTCGGGGCGCAGGAGAATCCATTCTTGTTTTTCAGCTCTCTCAGAAAATGTGAGTCAGCAATTGAGTTGGGCATCACCTAATAGGCTTTATCACCTCAAACACGGGCACAAATGCAGGCGCCCTTGGGCTTTTGGGATCCTTTGGGTCTTTCCAGCGATGGGAACCTCTACTCCTTCAAGCGCAGACGTTCCGTGGAGTTGAAGCACGGGCGCATTTGCATGCTGGCCCTTTGGCAAAGTGTGAATGGGAACAATCCCAATGGTGAATAGACTCAATGGAATAGTGAATAACTTGAGTTGGGTTGAGTTTCCAATTCTTGGGTATATCAAGAAGGCCTGCACTTGTATAAGGCATGGTTTGGCTTTTGTACATGTCCAATGCTAAGGCGACCATGGGCTACATCACCCCAGAGGCAAGTTCGATTGAATGTAGCACTCCGGCAGTCTTGAGAGCACCGCAATAGTTCAAGCTTCTTCTTTTGCCAGGTGGCTGGCAAGTTCCCAGGCTACTTGTCTACTTCCCAGAAGCTACTCTTCTCAGACATTCCCAACGGACTTGCGGCAATCTCCAAGGCATGCTGTGTGTGTTGTACCATGTATTAGGTTCTCATTATCGGAACAAACTTCTGTACTCATACATGGTTTGCCATGCATGTCTTGCAGGTGCCTTTGGCCGGCTGGATTCAGATCTTTGGCTACTGCGCCTACTGCGAGATTTCGGCAGGCTATGATGCAGACATCACCAAGCGCACCCCTGGTGACATGGGATGGAACCCACCCCTGTTCTCTGGAAACAATCCCGAGACCAAGACACGCCGATTGAACGCAGAGCTTGCCAACGGACGCCTGGCCATGATGGCCACCATGGGCATGTTCTTTCAGGTACGGCACTTCCATTGAAGCAATTGCTACAGAGAAAGGAAAGAGCAGAGATCTTGTGATATCTTGTGTTGTATTGTCAGCTTAGTTTATCAGTTTATCAGACCATAGTACTACATAGTCCTACATGTTTCCAAGAATGTGGGTCAGATGCTGTATGGTTGGTACAGGATGGCTTGACTGGCAGTGCTTGGGGTGACTGGGCCAACTACACTGACTCACCTTTGCGCGCCTTCGAGAACGAGTTGGGCGTGCAGGAGCCTGTGGGATTCTGGGATCCCGCAGGATTTACTGCGGACGGCAGCGTTGAGAACTTCAAGCGGCGTCGTCAGACAGAGCTCAAGCACGGAAGGATCTCCATGCTCGCAACAATGGGCTACATTACCCC